TTAATAAGCAAATAATAGAAAATAATATGAACAAAAAAAGAAAGAAAAAAATATACCGTATGTGTAATCAAAAAAACTAAATAATATGTTACTTTTCTAATATTTAAAATAAATATTTATATATTTATATGTAATTCATACTCATGTTTTCTACTGTTTCAAATAAAATATTTATATATTTATATATATTTGTATTGACTTTATTTTCTCTTTGTATATTATTACACCTAGTGTAATTTAGCGTTACACTTTATAAATATATGATTTACAATATTTTTTGTTTTTTATTTTGACATCGAGAAGTAATTACTGCAACTCTATGTTTGAATATCGCGCACAATTTTGGCCAAAAATGTGATTGGCTGTCCCCACCACGTTGCCGTCTCTATGCGCAATAACTCACCTGTATACTTACACCATGGTCCAGCAGAAGTAACGCAGCAATTGCAACTGAAGTCGAGGAGAAGGACAGAGAAGGAGTCTGAGGATGATGTCGAGCGAAATGCGTTCTTATTAGTCACACACTCGGGTGAAGATTTTTTAAAATATTGTAATATATGCAAAAAAACAACAAACATATTGCGTCAAAATGAAGACCGCGTTAATGGTAGCTGAGAAGCCTTCTCTGGCAGCATCTCTTGCTAATATACTGAGCAATGGACGGTGCAGTACCAGAAAAGGTGTGTTTTTCGATCATTTGTTTTATTTATTTGCGTATTATTACTATTTTACGTATTTTCCCATTTTTTGAAATTACTTCTCTTTAGGTTTGAACGGATCTTGTTCCGTTCACGAATGGGTGGGCCAGTTCAGATCAGAAACTGTCAATTTTAAAATGACATCCGTATGCGGGCACGTCATGACGTTGGATTTCATTGGAAAGTACAACAATTGGGACAAAGTAGATCCGGTGAGATTAATAAACACACATGTGACATTTTTGTTATGTTTACTCTCTTTGTGTACATATGTGTGTGTGTGATTGATATGCCTTGTTTTGCATGTTCTCAGGCAGAGTTGTTCTCATGTCCAACCGAGAAGAAGGAAGCTGTGCCAAAACTCAGAATACCATATTTTCTGGGCAAAGAAGGCTCTCATTGTGATTACTTAATATTGTGGCTGGATTGTGACAAAGAGGGCGAGAATATTTGCTTTGAAGTTGTCAATGCTGTACAGCAAGGAATGCACAGAAAGTTGCATATAAATGTGAGTTGTTCGCATTGTTTGTTTACTCTTGTTGAAGGTCAAATTTGTTTTTTTTTTCCAAGTAAAGTACAATAGGTTTCTGTTCTTTCTAGGATATATGGCGAGCACGATTCTCAGCTATCACGGAGAAGGATATAAAAGCTGCTATGGCAAATTTAATAAAACCCAATGAAAATGAAGCTAAAAGTGTAGACGCACGTCAAGAATTAGATCTGCGAATAGGTTGTGCATTCACTCGCTATCAAACCAAATTCTTCCAAGTAGGTTGCAAACTGTTGATCTTGCATGATTGTACTCATATACATGACCTTTTATATAAAATATGTACATTTTAGGGCAAATACGGAGATTTAGATGTATCGCTTATTTCTTACGGTCCCTGCCAAACGCCGACATTAGGATTCTGTGTTCAGAGGCACGATGAAATTCAAACCTTCAAACCGGATCCGTACTGGGTGTTACAGGTGCAATGAATTTGAAATGACAATGTCAAGCGTGTCTTGTTAAAAGATTCAGAAGTTAAACAATATAATTTATCTCATCTTCAGGTAACCATTAAGTCTAGCGATGGTCAAGACATTATACTGAGCTGGAGCCGTGTGCGTTCCTTCGACAAAGAAGTCGCAACCATGTTCTTGAGTCATGTAAAAGAGCACGATCAAGCAACGTGAGTTGTCACACACGTTATTGCAAATCTTATCTAGAACAACTAGAAGAATATGTAGAAACGTTTAAAATAAAATTGTATGTAGGGTAGTGAGTATACAGAGTACAGAGAAATCAAAATCGCGACCTATAGCTTTGAACACAGTGGAACTGATGCGAGTCGCGAGTTCTGGATTGGGAATGGGTCCGCAGCACGCGATGCAGGTCGCGGAAAGACTTTACACTCAAGGATACATAAGTTATCCTCGAACGGAAACTACATCGTATCCCGACAACTTCGACCTGTTGTAAGATCATCATTGCGCGCGATAACAGAGAGAGTCCGTCCGATTATTATTCAATTTCTCACTTATTACAGTCATTTAATTTTTATTTAAGATCAACGCTGAAACAGCAACAAAACAGTCCGGATTGGGGCGAGGAGGTTCGCAAGATATTAGCGTCCGGTATCAACAGGCCGAAGAAAGGTCATGACGCAGGCGACCATCCTCCTATAACACCCATGAAACACGCGACAAGAGGCGAACTGGACGGCGACGCGTGGCGATTGTACGATTACATAACGCGACATTTTATCGCCACGGTACGTGTTCACGACGAGATACGCTTACGCTCGAGAGATGCTAATCTCTCTCTATTGCTTTTGAATTTTACAGTTGGCGCGAGATTGTAAATATCTGAGCACCACGGTGAAATTCGAGATAGGCATAGAGATATTCACAACCACCGGTCACAGCCTGCTCGATCCCGGATACACGAATATTCTCACTTGGCAAGCGCTCGGCAACAGCGACACGCTGCCCAAGTTCACGACCGACGAGAAAGTGAACATACAAGAGGTAAGAGATTACGAAAGAAAAATTTCGCGCGAGATGAAGCACAGCGATGTTGTTTGTTTGCACGCAGGCGAAGCTGGTCGAATGTTACACGCAACCGCCGGATTATCTGACTGAAGCGGAATTGATCTCGCTCATGGAGAAACACGGCATCGGAACGGACGCTTCGATTCCCGTGCACATAAACAACATCTGCGTGAGAAATTACGTCACCGTTGCGGCAGGCAGAAAGTTGGTGCCCACGTCTCTCGGCATCGTTTTGGTCCATGGATATCAAAAGGTACTTTTCACTTCGACTTCCCGCTGTGTAAACACCTGATGTTTTCTCTCTCTCTCTCTCTCTTTCTCTCTCTCTCTATGTCTATGTGCGTCCTCCTTACTAGATAGATCCTGAATTAGTTTTGCCAACAATGAGATCCGCGGTGGAGGAGCAATTGAATCTGATAGCGTTAGGTCGCGCCGACTTTCACGCTGTATTGCAACACACCGTGGAGATCTTCAAGCAGAAGTTTCATTATTTCGTGCAGAGCATAGAAGCCATGGATCAGTTGTTCGAAGTCTCGTTCTCGCCGTTGTCGGCATCCGGTAAAGCGCATTCCAGGTAAGTCCATGAAATATATCATTGTAGAACGTCTGTGTTTTCTCACCCTATTTTGCAATTCTCTGTTGTACGCAGATGTGGCAAGTGCCGTCGATACATGAAATACATACAGACGAAACCGTCTAGAATGCATTGCGCGCACTGCAACGAGACTTACAACTTGCCACAAAATGGAAACATACGAATATACAAGGAATTGAAGTGTCCGCTGGACGACTTCGAATTGCTCTCGTGGTCGACCGGGACACGGGGAAAGAGCTACACATTTTGTCCGTACTGTTACAACAATCCGCCGTTCAGGTAACCTGTCGAGATCGGTTGTAATCATCAAATCAGATTAAAAAAAAAAAAAAAACAAAAAAAAAACGCTGACTTATCTCTCATTCGTGTTTCAGAGACATGAAGAAAGGAATGAGCGGTTGTAATTCGTGCACGCATCCGACGTGTCCGCACGGCATGAACTCGAACGGTTTGTCCAGTTGTTTGGAATGCGACCTCGGCATTCTCGTGCTTGACCCTTCGGCCGCTCCTAAATGGAAACTGGGATGCAATCGTTGCGACGTTATCATCCATCTCTTTGAGAACGCGCACAAAGTAACAGTCGACACGGACACTTGCGACTGCGGGGCGCAATTAGTGAGCGTCGAATACAAACAGGTTTGCGTGACGAATTGTTTGACACACGTGCGATATGCGTCGTCGGGAAGCCAGAGCGTAACTGTTTCGTTCTCTTTCGTTCTTTCAGGACAAAAGTAAACTCCCGAACGAGGCGACGGAAATGTCCGGTTGCGTGTTCTGCACTCCAGCCTTCGTCCCGCTGGTGGAAAAGCATCGTGCGGTGGCTTCGAAACCGGTCGTCACGCGTAGTCGCGGTCACACAAAGAGTCGCAATCGGGGCAAACCCAAACCGCCGAAAGACAAAATGGCTCAACTGGCGGCGTATTTCGTATAAATGATGCGTCAAGCGTAAACGCAACAGCAGCTGGCACACATGCGATGTGATTATGTGTGTTCGCGAGCATCTCTGTCAATTTTTTTTCTGAATAAATCCTGTCACTCTTTTTGTTTATCGCGTTTTATTTAGATGTACCTAACCGACTGTTCTGAAGACACCTAGAAAATATAATTTTAGACATCGCTGGTTGTCGCAAACAAGACGAACAAAAAAACACAAATCTCTCATATATAAAAAAAAAAAACCACCGTTTTCATATTTTAAGATCCGGCTCGAAGATCGCGAATTGATCGTGTGACCGCCCGTGTGAATTCAAATGCGCCGTCGAATAGCGCGCGATATTTCGAGAATCGATATATATCGAATCGACGCGCGCGGCAAAGCGCGCGCACGTAGCACGGAACAGAACCAAATAAATTGGTAAGATAGCATTTTTATTCACTGAGTTGTATGCGCGATCGGCCCTCGTATAATCGCATAACGTGCTTTGTACGGCCGCTCTCCGGTTATGATCTCAGCTGCACCGGTTTTGATCTCGTAATTTCTCAACCGGAGCTATTTACATGTTCTTGATCGGACTTCTGGTTTTTATTTGTTTCTCCGTATATTATTCCGTCGTGTTATCTCACACTCTTACATTTTTATACGAGTATTACTATGGGCCTTTGTAATATCGAATGCGTGGAGAAAATAGCGCGATATCTGGATGTTTGTCCGGGGAAATTAGAAGTTTCTAACAACAAACATGTGAGTGTCAACTTGATATTGTGCGTTAATTTTGTTTTCGGTGACAAAAGAGACATATCTCAGTAAAATCTGAAGGTTTGAACACAAGATTCGGAAATTGATTTGTTTGCGAATATCTACATTTCAGATAGTACTTGGTCCAGAATCTAAGGATTCATTGCCCATTCAGGGATTTAGCACCATTGTGCAAGCACTTCTGAGAAGATCCAAATATTCCGATTTACTTGGCAATGACAAGGAAGCGCAAGCTCTGACGCAGCAGTGGTTGGAATACATAACGGTCTGCATCAACTACGCCGATCTTCCAGCCAATGCCAAGAGAGTGTTCCATGTAATACGTAATATAGCTACGCATGAGCACGCATAAATATACCGCGGAGCACAGAAAGTAAGATACTGATGTCTTTGATCGTAGGAACTGAATACGGTATTACAAGATGTGACGTATATAACTGGCACAGAGAAGACTCTTGCAGACATCGCACTGTATTACGTCCTCCATTCTTTAATGGTAACGTTTGTTGAGATAGTTTTGATCTATTGGCAACGTACATGTGAGTGTGCAGATGCACACATCACGTGTCGAATTATTTTATCAGGTGTGTTTGCCATTGTTTTTTTTTCTATAGAAGCAACTGAGCCATCAAGAGAAGGCGCAGTATATTCATCTCTCAAGATGGTTCGACAATGTTCAGCAAGAAAAGAAGCTTAGAAACGAATTGGATGTTGTGTCTTTTGAGTTGGTTTATTTATTTCGGTCATAAGATAAAATTCAATTCTTGTTATTCCTATTAAAAAAAAAAAAGTATTACACGCGTCTATATCCCAGCTACATTTGTATATTACAATATCTTAACAATTATTTATACTCTTGTACAATAATAAAAACTATGTACAGAATATCAGAGAATGTATCATTTCCGGGGGTCGGAGCGCGATTCCTCCGTGGAAAATCGAAAGAGTAATGCGACACCTTCCGATTGGTCGGCCACCGCGCAGCCACGGAAGTAATTCGCGTCTTGTAATTTTACGTCACGGTGTACACGCGGTTCCGAGAAGCCGCAATCGCGCAATTAGCCCGCAGTCTGGTAGCCAGCCGCACGCATGCGCGTCACGAGCGTCCAGTGAGTGTCAGAGCAGCGGACGCTTGTCCGGGGGACGAATCTCTAGTCGCCAACCGGACCTCTGACGAGGGAGCGTGAAGCGGCAATCTTCTCAATGAACTTCAGTGCAAATGCGGAGACAATGATCGTACGGACAAATGATTCAACGGCGGTTCGAGTTGTTGCGCTGTTTCGACGATCGTCGGCGAATCGTTCCCGGTGAATCGTTCTCTCTCCCTCTCTCTCGCGAAAACGTGTATGTAACGATAGAGAGATGCGCGGTCCGTCGCGCATCGCTCCCGAGGAATGTCAAACTTTTCACGGTCGTCGCAGCTGGTAAACGCGCGCGCGCCAACCCGCAGCGTCCCGTGGACATTCGTCGCACGGTGATCCGCCGTCACCCTTTGCCTAACGATTGTCAACGTTTCGGCCTAAAAATTCACGCCTAACCAGGACTGCCTTTCTTCGTTCTTTCGCGAGAGACACAAGAGAGCCGGAGAACCTTGCGAGATGGCGGACGATTCGAGCGTACGCGTCGCCGTACGGTGAGTAAAATAGATTAAGCGCATTGCACAGATTTCGAGAAGAGCGAGATCTCGACGAAACTCCTGGTCCAACCGACACATCGGTCTCGGATCAACCTCGTCTCGTCATTGAACGGAGAGAAAGAAACAGTTGGGAGAAATGAATTAACTCGCTGATGAAACTGCGAGAAAAAAAAATGCCCACGCGGTTTCGAACGCCACGCGCGGTTTTCCAAATCGTGGAAATCGTGGGATTGAATCGTATATATGTAGTTTTCTCTCATATTATTTTTTTATTTCCTCAGATCTTCGCCGCAATGCGTCGTTTTCTGTGTTCGCTTCCCTCGCGCGGTATCTTCGTCGCGTGTCAAGAAACGTAGAGAAAACCTCCGCCGCTGGAGAAATCGTTTCTGTTGTGCGCTGTGTTTACAGTGCAAACGTTGCTGCAATTATCGCTGGATCGCGAAAATCTTTTTTTTTTTTTTTTTTTTTTTTTTATTGCGATCGCGAGGAGCAATGAGGAAGCGAGAGAGAGAAAGAGAGAGTCGCTGTTCGCATCACGGAGAAAAAAAAACGCTCTCTTGTTCCGCGCGCGCGGATACCTGACAGATCGCGCAAACACATTCCGATCGTCGAGTATCTCCTTTTACGACGCAAGTGCGTAGGCTTGATTGCCACACGCAATGAGAAACGCGCACACTCGCGACTTCCGAGAGACGCGCGATTAAGGCCCGAATTCATAGTCGTCTCTCAGATCTCAGATCTCATCTCATCTCTTTCCCTCTCTTTTTCTCTCTCTCTTTCTCTCTCTCTTGAGATCTGAGATCTGAGATCTGAGAGACGACTATGAATTCGGGCCTAAGTCACGTTTTTTTTTTTTTTTTTTTTTTAACTGATTGATCATTACATCGACATTACAGTTACAGACTTACGCAATGTCAAACAATTATTTTTTACTTGCCACCGGCGTTCAAGTGTGATGTGTACACCAGAAACTGCTCGCCAGAATTGATGACTAATTTTCCTTTCCGCTTAAATAATTTGTTATGTTTTTTAAATAAATCCATGAATTTTTGTGTGCTTGCACACAAATCTGTCTTATTAATTTGTGTTTACACAAATCTTATCTGTTTAAAAACAATGCAATGATAAATATAATGATAACGTTTTTTTTTGAAAAGTCTGACGATTAGACGTCAGTTTTATCAGTTTGTTGGAAAATTTAACTAACGCTAATGTATCTCTTGCCTGCAGAATAAGGCCTCAAGTAGCTCGGGAGGTGATCGACATGTGCAGGATCTGCACCCAGGTGCCTGCGGGGGAGCCGCAGGTGTTCCTTGGACCGGACAAGGCCTTTACGTACGATTACGTTTTCGACACTCAGTCGGATCAGAGAATAATTTACGAAACGTGCGTGAGTCGGCTCGTGGAAGGTGCGCTGGACGGATACAACGCGACGGTGTTCGCTTACGGACAGACGGGCTCGGGCAAGACCTACACCATGGGCACGGGTTTCGATGTGGAGGTCGACGAGGACATCGTCGGAATCATACCCCGTGCCATCAGGCATCTCTTCAACGGAATAGCGGCCAAGCAGGAACGCGCGAGAGAACGCGCTCAGTTGCCGCCCGAGTTCAAGGTTTGTATCTTGCGAGAGAGAAACGTTTGGAGAAACTCGAGTTAAGGTCCCGTTCATTTAATGGTCTCGCTATTTTGTTTCAGGTTACAGCACAATTTCTGGAATTATATAACGAAGACTTGAAGGATCTGTTGGAACCCGGAGGACCGAGAGGCGGCGCCCGTATCCACGAGGACACCACCGGCAACATACATTTAACCGGGGTGGAACCGCGAATCGTGACCAGTCCGGAACAAGCGTTGGAGTATCTGCGATTGGGCGCGCTGTCGCGCACAACGGGATCCACGCAGATGAACACGCAGTCCTCCCGGTCGCACGCCATATTCACGCTGTACATCAAACAGCAACGATGCATCAAGGTCGAGGATCCCGACGCGGACGTCGACACGAGCACAGCCGAGATTGCGAACGAGTTCGAAACGTTAACCGCGAAATTTCACTTTGTCGATCTGGCCGGTTCCGAGAGACTGAAGAGAACGGGCGCCACCGGCGACCGGGCAAAGGAGGGCATTTCCATAAATTGCGGATTGGTAAGGATCAGGTGACTCTCTTTTCGCGAGATGTTCATGAAGAAATCCGTCAGATCGATTACAACGATATTCTCTTGTTGTCCGTAGTTGGCGTTGGGCAATGTCATCTCTGCTCTCGGCGACAAAACGAAGAAGGCTTTGCACATACCGTACAGAGACTCGAAGTTGACCAGGTTGCTCCAAGATTCTCTCGGAGGTAATGCTCGCGGCACGTCGTGTAAGACGCTTCTGAGGGATACTAACTCGAGTTATCGCGTCGAGTATTCGCGTGCTTCTAAACTTCTGATTGATCATTGCAGGAAACAGTCAGACTGTGATGATAGCGTGTGTGTCGCCAAGTGATAGAGACTTTATGGAAACTCTGAGCACGTTAAAGTACGCGAATCGGGCGAGAAATATCAAGAACAAGGTTACTATTAATCAGGACAAGAGCTCGAGAACGATCGCTTCGCTCCGACGAGAGATTCAGCAACTTCAACTGGAACTGATGGAATATAGACAAGGTATGTTTTATCGACGTTTGTTACAACGTTTCTTTTGGAAAAATTTTTTAATAATTTTAATATCATGTAACAACATGTTTTTGTTGTAATAAAGTGTAAAGTAAATCACGCTCGTTATAATAACAATAATAAAATTAAATATGACAAGAAGGTCTGTTACGAGCTTAATAGAGGATCTTTGTATTTATTCAATTATAATATCAAATTAATATGAAAACATATATTGTAATATAAGTAACGCACGCAAACGTTTCGACTCTTACTTGAGTCATCTTCAGTGTACATAAAAAATTAAATAAAATCACGCCATTCCGAAGAAGGTGGTGGTGTGGATGCTCTCAGTATATAATAATATAAAATTGTAAAATCTTACATATCACAGTTGTTTGATTTCCTGGAAGAGTTATACAGGGTGTCCCAGAATTGCCGTACAATCTCTCGTAGGCAGGTAGAAGGAGTAAAACTAAGTCGAAAAGTCCTGAACCATTTTTTTCTATTATTTATAATAAAGAAGTAATTATTGAGTAAATCAGGCCAATCAGCGCAGACCTTTAGCCAGGCGCACGTCAGTGAGCTGCGCGCTTGATGTGTGTGAGCGCTCACTGACATGTGGCTGGCTAAAGGTCTGCGCTGATTGGCCTGATTTACTCAATAATTACTTCTTTATTATAAATAATAGAAAAAAATGGTTCAGGACTTTTTGACTCAGCTTTACTTCTTCTACCTGCCTACGAGAGATTGTACGGCAATTCTGAGACACCCTGTATAGTTAACAAGTCACATAAATATTCACAAGAGTAAACAAAGCAGCTCAACTTACATGTTTAGAGTCAAAAATCAAACGGTGATCAGAACGTAAAGGCAACGATTTATATACTTGAATCCCCACCATCAAAACACAGTCAAAGTAAACAAGTCAGTTAAAATTTAAATCAGTTAAAATTTAAAATTCAGAGTTTTGAAGATTTGATTTCATCAAGCAAGTTAAAATAAGCATGGTCAAGTAAGTCAGTATCATTGATTAAATTTAAACCAAAAATCTGTTTTTTTATATGTATAATTTCGGAAATCAATCTTTTGTAGAAGTTAGATTCATGTTTTTGTTGTTTCCCTTTAGGCAAGAGATTAGTCGGCGAGGACGGTGTTAACGACGCCTGGCACGAAAATCAAATGTTGAACAGCGAATTGCAAAGTCTCCGAACTAGAGTGAAAGCTCTTTCGGAAACTGTCGAGGCGCTGACAGCGAAAAATGCTCTGTTACTAGCGGAAAAGGCGGCAGGTCAGTGGATGGCGGCTGCGGGCGGTGGTGACGATCAGGTGACCAGTTTGGTGCAAGGTTACGTTCAGGAAATAGAAGAGTTACGAGCTCGTCTGTTGGAGGCGGAGGCTATGTATCAGCAATTAAAGAAACGGCAGATGCAGGTAATACTTGTGTCAGCGTTTGCGAGAGACGCACTTGTTTACGCGACTGACGATTAAACAAATTTACCAGGTCATCGCAGCGAATCCGTACGGCGACAGTTCGTTTCATTTCGATCCCGCGTCTGTGTTGAGCGACGCGAAAAAGGACGTCGAGAAAGAAATAGAAACGCTGAAAGCCCTGAAGGAACAATACGCTCACAGCAGTAACACCTCTGTCAAGTCGACAGTAGACGAGGGAGAAGACGACGCGGAGAACGCTCAGGACTCCGGGAGCGAGGACGATTCCGAGGACGATTCTGATCGCAAAGGCACGTTGTTGTAAACTGGATATCATATTTTTTATTTTGTTTTGCAAATGCACATCTCACGTTTGATATTTTTATACAGAAGAAGACGAGGAGGAAGAGGCTATGGGTCGTGAATTGGAGGCGCTGACGTCCGACATCGACGTCAAGCAACGTTTGATACAAGAGCTCGAGCTTTCTCAAAGACGTTTGCAGACCATGAAGCAGCACTACGAGGATAAATTGGCTCAACTGCAGGCGCGTATCAAAGACACTCAGGAAGAAAGGGACAAGGTGTTAATGTCGTTGCAGCAACAGCCCGCGCCACCCACCGAGAAGGTGAAGAAATTGCGGGACGAGTATGAAAAGAAGCTCACTAATATGCAGAAGGAGATGCGTCTTCTCCAATCGGCCAAGAAGGAACACGCTAGGTTGATAAAGAATCAGTCGCAGACCGAAAATAGATTGAGAGGTCTGAGAAACGAGCTCTCGGAAATGAAGAGAGCCAAGGTGAAACTTCTGAATAAAATGCGAGAAGAAGCTCAACGTCACAAGGAGAACGAGCTGAGGCGCAATCGGGAGATAGCTCAGTTGCGCAAGGAGAGTCGCAGACACGCGAATGTGATAAGAACGCTGGAGGCCGACAAGAGAATGAAGGAGGTTGTGCTCAGGCGTAAACAGGAGGAAGTGACGGCGCTGCGAAAACGAGACCGGGGATTGAGTCAAAAGGCTGCCGGTCGCGCGCCGGTCAAGTCGCTTAACCCGAAAGCGTTGAAGCAGAGATGGCAAACGTTCGAGAGAACAATCGCGAAGCAAGCGCTGGCGAAACAGGCCGCCGCCGAGACGGAGAGAGAAATGGAAAGACTACTTCAAGAGCGGGAAGAACTGGGCAGAGATTTGGAAAGACTTCAGAAGCACAGGAGCCAAGTGACGAGCGCGAGGGGCGACGTCACCGACATCGACGAGGAGATCGATAACGTAAAGAGCAAGATCAGTTATCTGCAGGTATAAACGGCAGTTCGTCAACTTAGCTTCAAGTACATCGTATTTTTTTTTCTTTTTTTTGTACTATATTAAATTTTGCACAGGATAGTATCTCGGAGTGTCAACGGGATATGGTCGAGATGGGCGACGGTGAGGCGGAGGGTGAGCCTGGCGTCGAGGCGCTCATCTCCACAATTCGCACGGTAGACGAGGCACAGTATCTGCTTCAACGGATGCTCGCCTTCACCGTGGAACAGAGTTGCGTAGCCGCGCAAAAGCAGCTCGAGGTGCGGGATATGGAGTCCCGGCTCAATCAGGTCGCGCAAGAGAGCGACGTTCAGCACCAATTGCTCGAACACGTTCTGCGCGACAGAGATCTCTTGTCTCTCACGAACAACCAGACTAACGCTTACAGTCCGGCCAGTTCGAGAAGCTCTTCTCCCGACAAGTAAGTTGAGCGATAGTCAAGACTCTCTTTCAAGACTTTTTTTCGAGATATTTTATTCTGACTTTCGCCATTTCACCAACAAAATCGAATTGTCTCTTTTTTCAAACAATTATGTATTTTATTTTTTTTTTTTGTGTTCTCCGTATCGCTAGCGAAAGTTACAGCCAGATTATACTCGGTGATGAGAAACAGCGCAACAATAAAGTCAGAAGAAGAACGGCGCAGCCGCAGGAGCTTCTCTACGGCGTTCACGCGAACAATCCCGAAAGCGCGAAAACGGACGATCAGAATCAGAATCACAATCATCCTCTCACGAGGGTTCCAAGCGCGCCGGGTAGTTTGAAGTAAGCACACGACATTCAAACTCAAAATTTGTGCGATTCGAGAAAAAATTAGACAAGTGTTTTGTAATAACTCATGTTGTTTCTCTCTGTGTGTCCCATAGAGGATTGGTATTGACTAGAAATCAACACGGAGGTGGCGTGACCAGCGGATCGCCGACTCTGGGCCGTCGAGACAGCACCTCGCCCAGAGCTCTGCGACGGCCGATTCATCCGGGCGGAGGCTCCATGTGAGTGATTATTCTGCAGCACATCCTTGTTCTTGTATTCCTTGCATACATTTGTCTTGACGCCCTACTTCACGCACTGTTGAATATTTTTATTTCCACGAGATGAACTTTTTTGTTTTTTTTTGACTTTTTCGTTCGAGAGACAGGAATCAAGTGCAAGTATTTCGTGCGTACGAATGAATAATGTTTGATGAATCGACGCGATGCGCGTGCGCGCGCTTAAGCAATTGTATAAGCGCAGAATAATTACATGGCAGATTTACCCACGAAAGGAAGGAGAGATAAACTAATTTTTTTCTCTTTCTCGACTTGTTAAATCTCAGACTCACGTAACAAAAAACTGGATTTGCACACATTGCAGAGTATTTTTCTCTCTGTAAAAAGGTTCTTTCCAACGTATGTACAAAGTAACCTCGGAGCTTTCTACGTTTATGTCGAATATTCGCAATCGACGTTTTAAAGCGTTTACGTGTATTGTAAAACAAAAAACGTTACGCTACATCCATATGTACAGCAACGTGCTCCGCAATGACCACTTTCGCAAACAATAATTTTGTTAAGAAAAAAGTCTTTGTGATTTATATATTACTTAATTATTTACAAGAAATAAGTAAGATAGATATCTAACTTTTATAAATGTGTAACATAAATATATATATATATATATCTACTACATATAATATTAAATTTTTCCAATTTATACACACATGTTAAAGCGAGTTGTTAACGATCACAATAAAAGAAAGACATTTATTAATTTCTACAGAATGTTTATTTTTTTTTTCAATGTACATATATGCTTACATAGACATAGGAATTGTTTTTCTGTATTATTAGGAGATAAAGAAATAATAATAAATAATTTTTGAAGCAGTGAGACGCAAGTACGACCAGGAGCCGACTCAAAAGACGGCTTTCTTAAACCGCTTACAAATCGTTTTAAGTACGAAATTTGCATTTGATAATGCCTAATGTGAGATCGATTATAATCGTGCTTCTTGATTGTGGTGCACCATCCCCTCGTGTGTGTGTGTGTAAAGCGCAACGTCTTTCGTGACAGAAAATTAACACAATGTTTCTCTTTCTCCTTTTTTTTCCTTCTTTGTGCATGTGACATATATGTTTTTATTAACAATAACTTATAAACTACGAAGTCGGCATGAGATCACAGTAGCGCTGGATTTAGCCAAACGCCGGCCGACTAACACGCTAACATAACAAAACACACCCCACTAGGGAGCAGGTAGCGCACACGGATATATCTTCACCCCCCGGGTCCCCGACTACGTACAGGCGGTTCAATAGCCGTGAGGAAAACGTGTTCTCCAGACTAACCGCGAGCAGACAGCCGATATCGTCTGAACCGCAGCCAATGAAGGGCATTATCTCGCAGTATCAGGGCAAGGTAAGCAAAAGGAGAGCAAAAGAAGAACACGAGTGTTTTCGTTGTTCAAACTCGTTTAATGAAATCTTCTTCTCCGCCAGGTTCAACCGCGAGCGATTTTGCAATGTTCTCACGTAGCGGAGGGACACAGCAAGGCTGTGCTCACCATATGCGTGACGTCGGAATTACTTTTCAGCGGCTCGAAAGGTACGTGAATTATGGAGACGAGTAAAAACACGTAGAGAATTTTAGAGTGCGACTTATGATGTGTTTTTTTTTTTAGATCGCACCGTGAAAGTGTGGGATTTGGAAACGGGCATCGAGAGTTTAACCCTGAGCGGACATCCGAACAACGTAGTCGCTGTGAAGTACTCCTCCGTTCATCGATTGCTGTTCAGCGTGTCAGCCGCGTACGTCAAGATCTGGGATCTCAGAGCCGGCAACAATTGCATAAAGACGCTGTTCTCTTCTGGTCAGACTCAGATCGGCCCGATCGCGCTCTCTACTCCGTCTAGAACGCTTCAATTGCCCGTGGGCGAGACGACGATCAACGATCTGGCGCTGAGCCTGGACGAGCAGGAGCTGTACACGGCGTCCAGCGACAAGGTTCGAATATGGGACGTGCGCAAATTGACATACACCGCCCGACTGAGCACGCCGCACACAGCGGCGGTTATGTGTCTGGCCGTCGCCGAGGATGGCCGAGTGATAGCAGGCAGCAAGGATCATCTGATATCCCTCGCCGATCCAAACGCATCCGGACCCTCCGTTAGCTTAGCGCCGCCGCATTACGACGGAGTTCAGTGTTTGACCACGATCGGTTCCACATTATTTTCTGGTGTGTATTATTTTTGTTTTATTGATAAACACATAGGTCTTACAATGTTGGCATTAAAACTCACAATTATTCTCCAGGCTCGAGGGACATGTGCATCAAACGATGGGATCTTGGCAGAATGGAGTTAGTTCAGTCTTTGAATAACGCTCACAAAGATTGGATCTTGGGATTGTGCATGATAAACAGCGGTTCGGTAATGATATCGGGTTGTCGCGGTGGTGTACTGAAGGCCTGGTCCGTTCCCAAGGATCACTCGGGGGAGTGCACGCCTATCGGAGAGGTTCGGGCGCATACTTCCGCCATCAATGCCATCGCGACAAATCAACAGCACATATTCACAGCGAGCAAGTAAGTACAAGAGATATTTCGTTTCTTGAATACTTTTCTATTCAGACGCTGTGCGCCCAGATAATCGACAGTATTACATGGAGAAACATGCTACTTTACTGGCGCAGTGCATATATCATATAAAAATATATATATATATAATACACACTCTTGCATTCTCCGAGTGAAGTAACATCTCGGATATTGATTTCAGCTCTGGAGAAGTGAAGCTGTGGCGTATACCCGATACCTCATTATCCATGTCTATCTCCACAGTTTCCCTTTAACTTTATTTGCTTTTTGCTTGTGTGTCACTGTTGTGCGTTTATCTTGTTTTTTTGTGGTGATAATGCCGCATGCTTTTCACACATATATATATATATATACATATATATATATATATTTATATATACTTAACAATTTTAATACTTGTCGAAGTCGCACATTCGAGTACCGAGTTTATTACACGACATTTCGAATTTACACTAAACACTTGTGTCAAAAAGATACCGCGAACATGTTTTCTTAGAGACTTTTATATACATATATGTATCTGTTCACACGTTTGCATTATATGTACCGCAGATGATATACGCAAAATTTAATTGCCACCACACAAAAATTCACATTAATTTTTTTTTTTTTTTTTTTTTTTAAACGTGTTGTCTCTTCGAGGAGGTATCAAATTTACAAATTACACAAAGTTACCTGTACGCTCAACTTCGTACGCGTGTGACGAACAACGCAAAAAGATCTCTTTGCTAGTCAGAGTATAAATCAAAACAAAAACTAAAAGACTTGTTGATTAATATGTTATAATTTTTTTTTTTTTTGTATTGATTATAAAGTTTATCAAGCCTATATAACATAATATATGTATGAACACTTAATTTATTTGCTTCTATGTTGTTTACTCCACTTTGGTGCTTTGCATGGTCGTCGTGTCAATACGAAGCGATGGAACTGTGAGACTGTGGAACTACTATAAACGAGACGCGAGGACCTTCCACAGGAGCAACTCGCTGAAAAGCTAATACGTACACGTCGTACACGCCACGTATATTGTACATTTAATTTTTAATTGCGGTTTTAGTTTACGTCAAATGATAATGCACGTGATCCGTCATCGTACGCTGTTAGTTTGCATCACTGCCGTGGTATTCAGTTCTGTTTTAATATTATTATTATTGAAAATTACATTTCCTATATTTTTTTATGTCTATTGACTGTACATCTTCGTCTTGCTGTCTCTCTTCTCTCGTAACGTTATTAGATAATGAGAAACGTCTATTTTTAAGCAACAAAAAAAATGTATTGTACAACATACAGAGCAATGTGTGTTGCTTTAACGAAGTAGCTTTGCTATTGGTAGAAGAAAAAAAAACGAAAAAAAAAAAAAAAGAGCCTGATTGGAATTGTGTGCATTATCACGTAAAAAAATAAGAACGCCTAAAGAAAAAACACATAGCTTTGAACAAAGTGTTGTATCTCGAAGAAAGAACAAAAAAAGATTATATGTGTTATATCTAATATTTATTTTATTATGAACATAAAGATATGGTCGTAAATATAATAATTATATTTATCCTTAGTATAAACAATAATCGTTGATTAATACTGTACAGTCTGAGGTCTCTGTAGGTTCCAAATACTGGATATTGTCAAGGTTGGCTGTTATTCAGTTTTCTTCTAAAAAAGAGGAACGTTTCGAAAAAAAGAACAGTATTATGCCTTATTATGTTCGTAACTGTCGGTAAAAAAAAAAAAAATAAATTATGAAAAGAAATATTGGAAGAAAAAAGCGGAAGTGTATCATCGTGCATAAAATTACAGAAGAATTTTACACTTGAATTTTTTGTACCTCTTTTTCTTCTTGTGTGCGGTAAGTGACTCTTGACCACTGTCGTCCTCGCTGTCCTCGGACTCGCTACTGCTGGTGCTGCTCGAGGAACTGCTCGAGGAACCGCTCGAGGAATCACTTGCAACACCTGTGTCCTCTTTCACGTCTATCGTTTCCGCTAATGCCGCCAGTTCCGGCTCTTTTTCATTTAGTACTTTCAGCCACTTTCGCGACAGTTTCGGTCTTCCCCGCACCTTTTGTTAGTGTACAAGTGTATTTATAAACGCTTTTCAATTTACATACATTTACATAACATTTTTTAACATATAGACTTTGTGATATTTTTAACACACAATCATCATACAATGACAACAGTGAATTATTCATGTCTTATTTGCGTCAAGTCCGCTTACCGTTTTGTGCCAGACCACCGGGAAATTGGTGCGCGAACAGAAATTTTGCGTGACGGCTATGGTTTCGTCGAGATTTAGAACGATGTGCCACCAGCCGCCGGGTATGAAAACAGTTTCGCCGGGAGTCTGCAGGATCTCGATCGGACGACAATCTTGCGGCCACGTGGGCAATTTTGTGCGCGGATAAATAATCGAGAACCACGTGATCGCCTCATCCCGCTGTTTGCCACCCTCGGCTGCGGTCACTTTCAGAAGCTCGCGGGGAGTGTGCGTAGGAAACAAGCACCAACGTTTGTGGCCGGATATTAGAGCATTCCATGCGCTGGTACCTAACGGATCTATGTGTATGCCTGTACCTGTTGCACAAGTTGTTGTTATACAATGTACACAAGTGACATGACGCGCGCGCGTGTTCGTGCAACTCTTATGACTTATAAAACTCACAAAGAATAGATACACGCGACTTATTCGATTAAACAAATTTAAACTTTGTTTTAAGTAATAATTGTCAGACTCTTGTTTACAAACTGATGCGAAGAGGAAGTTGGATGTTACATCTGGCATTATAGTTTGTGTTGTATAAAAAAAATTTAATGTATACCCGATCTGGCAGGTCCCATGACAAACCAACGATACGGCGGTCTACGATGTTCCCCGGCGTAATGAAACAGATCGTCGCGGAAGTACTTCGGAATCACATAATCCTCTAGCAATTTCTTTCTTCTCGGATGCTCGCCGAACGAGCTGTCGAAAATGTACAAAGGGGAATCGTCCTCGTTATTGAACATGTAACGCACATAGTACTTCATCTTCATTTTTACGCTATATCCCTCATTGTCTTCTCCGCACTTAAACTTTTGATTGCGATATTTCTTTGCTAATTTCTGAAACGAAGTAAAAACAACACGTACTTATAAAAACGATAAGCCCTCACTTTGCAGTCTATCACAACTAAATAAAATTGTTAATTATACAAAACCAGCCGTTAGAGAACTCTGCGAATGTTTTTTTTTTTTCTCTGTTGAATGCGAGAATATTTATTTTCGGAGACTGCAAATCAAAGGGTGTGTATACTGTCCGGTATAAAATATATATTTAAAATAAATAATATGATACAATAAATAACACATTAGAAACAAATGGGTGTACTAACATCTATAGTCCATTTTTGCTGGGCTCTCCAGCCGTTTTGAACACCTCTTATTATCACAGGCTTGTAAGGTTTCTCGTATTTCTCCACGAATTCCTCGGTAGTCACGTTGGATTCGTCGATTCGTTCCGCATTGTCTTCGAACTCCCAAAATTTGTGAAAATTCTTGTGATAGGCGTACTGAGTCCATGCTACTTTATCTGCGAGCTCTAAAAGTACAACGTGTACGTGTGTGTGTGTGTGTGTGCGCCAAAAAAATATTTACGTACATTGAGAGAAAAATCTCTAAAAAAAAAAACAATTTACAGAATAAAATCTCGTGTATCAAGTGTAATCGATTTGTTAACGTGTACACTTTGATTGAACAACAAGAAGACGCATGCGACGGGAAATGTATACGCGGCGTGCAATTGAACCGAGCCTGTTAATTGCTCGGTAACGGATATTAAAGCGGAGATTATCAGGATCAAATCAAATTACATCATCACCAAGGTCATGGAGAAGAAGGAGTCCGACGATCGTATTACTGTGTACTCTCTCCAACAAGTTTTTTTTTCTCGCCGCTCGCAAAGAACAATCGCAGATAATTAAACGTAAGCGCCCTTACTGTGCGAACGCGCGATTAATAACAACACACGGACGGAAATGAGAGAAGCGAAATCGAAAGAAAAATGATGTCGCGATGTGGTGTACGTGACTTCTCGCCGGATATCGAACGACGAGGATAGAGGTTACGGTACGCGAAACATCGAAATTTTACTCACCCGGTCGCGCCTTCTTTTTCACCTCCTTGATCCTCTTCCTCGCTCGGTGATCCAATCTGGATTCCTCCGTCATGACTACGCGCGGTATTTGTCTTGGCAATTGATTCGGGACGTGGACGCGTGCGTGTTTACCGACTGAAATAGAGAAATTCAAAAAACTTGGCCAAAGTGCGGTGACAAAACGAATCGCGCGTGCCGTGTCCGGAAACTTTCGTACAGCCTGTTCTACAATACAGTCGTAAGCTGTAAGTCGTAAGAAATTGACCAATCACAGATAAATCACAGAAGAATAATCGATTGTGATTGGTCAATTTCTTACGACTTACGACTGATTGTAGAACAGGCCTACGTGGTCACGCGCGCAGCGTGTTGCCAACATTGAGGATTGGAACGTCACCACTTTCCGACGTTTCGACGCGCGTCGCGACCTCGCTCGCCCAATCCGAAAGAGATGGTCGCGCTCGATCGACCAATCGATCCGGCGCGTCACGCGCGCTGATTGGACGGTGTTTTTTTAATCGCGTCTAAAGCCCGTTCTACATTGATCGCAAGCGCAAACGCAAGGTATAGATCTCGTAGAATTGACCAATCACGCTGTCGGTCAATTGGCTGATTTGATCAATACGATTAGTCAATTCTACGAGATCTGATTCCTTGCGTTTGCGCTTGCGATCAATGTAGAACAGGCTTAACGGAATCTAGCGCGTTGGATATCGCGCTTGACGGATATGTCGCGAAGAACATTTCAGGAAATTCAACAAAATGTGTCGCACGAGTTCGACACACTCTGATTAATTTCGAATTAAATTTGGAATTGGTTGATCAGCTCGCGCGATCAACCGACCAACGCCATTGAATTCTCTGTCGGAGGTGACCCCGATTTGTCGAGTCTTGGATGAGTTTAAACATTTTTCTCGCAATTTTCTTTCTCTCTCTCTCTCTCTCTCTCTCTCTCTCTCTATCAAGGACATTTAATAAATTTGCTACATGCCGCAGGAATAACTGTAAACAATTGCAAAAAATGCGGTGCACGCGCGTCACGAGCTAGAAAAAAGAAAGAAATACATAAATAAACAGGAAACTTAACCCGGAAGCGGAAATAAAGCGCCTGATTTATAATGCAACGTATTACTCAAGAGAATATCACGTCGGGGAACAATACGACGTTTCGATAAAGGTCCGCGCGACCGCGATCACGTAGGCAGAGAGAACGGCAGAACGGGCGAGCGAGGGGAATGCCCGAGACGATCCGGACCGGATGTGCTGCCGCTCGGGTACGCACGGCAGTTGGAAGAGGCATGACGCTACGTTCGCCATGTTTTGGTGTCGTCATCCCCCCCGAGCGCTGTTTCACGGCGTACTGCACACAATAGCCCGTGTTTTTTAGTGAGTGTTTTCGTGCTGTCGCGTATCAACGGCGCGTTCCTGGCGGTCTCCACGACGTACTCCCCGACCCCGTTATCGCCAACGTCCCCGGGGTCCTTGTGCGCGCGATCCCGCACTCGAGATCGTTTGTATTTTCAACGTCGCGCGAAGCTGGAGATAACCCTCCTCATCCCGTGGACGAGCTCGTAGCTGGCCATGCGTGCTCGGACGTTATCGCGTCCGAGGAAATAGTCTCTGGCCAAGCACTAGGGGGGGGATCGACGCACGTTGTTTTATGCGACCTGGATCAGCGCGTCCTGGCGAATCGATCCGGACCGTCGTCGAACGTCGTCGCATCGTTTGTCACTCACGTCGCTTAGCACTGCCTTCGCCGTCGCTCGACCCAATCGTCGAACTCGTCGATCACCGACCGACGACGGCATCGCTCACCTTGACGATTCGCCACCGAGTTACATCACTTCGCGGGGGCGAAGGGAACGAACGATCCCGACGGATCCCTCGGATCCGCGTGTAACGGATCGGCATCTCGCGTGCGTGCGTACGTGCGTACGTGCGTACGTGCGTACCTGGGTGCGTGCGTGCGTGCGTGCGTGCGCGCGTACGATCATCTCGTTTCCCTCATTTCGTTCGGTTTGATAATACGATATACACATAGGCACGTGGGAAAGAATTAGCCAGTTAAAATGGAGTTGCGATTACACTCGCCAGCAGGAGCAGAACCCATTGTGTATCAGTGGCCGCTCACCTCCGGATCGGGATCAGTGAGTAAAATTCGCAAAACGAAAAAGAAGAAGAAAAAAAAAACAGATTTTGTAAGATCTTTTTGTATGAGTGAATAAATTTAACACTGGGTTGTAGATATTATAGTAGAGATGATACGGGTTTGTTTAGTCTGTTCAATATCACGTCTACTTAATCTTGTTTACAACCATTGTGTCGCTTCTGAGAACTTTTTTTTATATATATATCCCCTTTCTGTGTTATTCTTGTAATGTAACCGTTGTATATGTTGCAGGATCGACACGATGGAGCATTGGATGTTATCGAAACTATGCGATGGGTTTGCGAGGATCTGCCAGATTTGAAGTTACCTTTAGAAAATAATATTCTTTGTAATTACGATCCGAGAGATTACGAAAGTATGAAAAGCTTGTGCGACAGATTCAATAGAGCCATCGATAGCTTAGTACAATTGGTATGTTATTTGGTTTCTCTTTATTTTTTTATTTTTTTGTTTGATTGTCAGAATATGTTGCGTATTGCTTTTGTTGACGTCGCTCTTACACGTTTTTTTTGCGGTGGCGAACGTGTTTACAGGAAAAAGGCACTAGTCTGCCATTTCAGAGACTAAACAAGAGACCTAGCAGAGGCTTGCTTCGTCATATACTTCAGCAAACATACAATCAAGCTGTGGTCGAACCGGACAAGCTAAATCAGTACGAGCCTTTTTCGCCTGAGGTTTACGGCGAAACGAGTTACGAGCTTGTGTCTCAAATGATCGATCAAATTGAGGTGACGGGCGAAGATGTGTTCGTTGATCTGGGTTCCGGAGTTGGCCAAGTTGTTCTTCAGATGGCGGCCGCGACTATGTGTAAAATATGTATCGGTGTAGAAAGGGCCGACGTACCTTCAAAATACGCCCAGGTACAACACGAGCACAAATTAACAAAAATATGATCGTAAATTGCTAGATTACATAATTTACGTTGTATATTAGACGTGTAGTTGATGCCATTTTGTTATCATTATTACAGAGCATGGAAATAAACTTTCGAAAATGGTTAAATTGGTACGGGAAGAGATGCGGGGAATATCGTCTTGTAAAAGGAGACTTTTTAGCGGACGAACATCGCGAAAGTATTACCGGGGCTACGATAGTGTTCGTGAACAACTTCGCGTTTGGTCCAACAGTTGATCATCAATTGAAGGAGCGTTTCGCTGATTTGCGGGATGGCGCGCGCATAGTATCGTCGAAGTCCTTCTGTCCGTTAAACTTTCGTATAACAGATAGGAACTTGAGCGGTAAATATATCTTCTATTCTTGCTAATATTTTTCTTCAACTGTGTTTTGAATTCTGGATCAAATCCTGATCTTTCTGTTTGTAATAGATATTGGCACGATAATGCACGTGTCGGAAATGTCGCCGTTAAAAGGTTCCGTCTCTTGGACCTGTAAGCCCGTGTCGTATTATTTGCACGTAATTGATCGTACTAAGTTAGAACGTTACTTCCACCGCTTGAAGAACAATAAACAAGGTGGCTCTGATGAAAATTCTGATTCTGTGATAAGTAACACTGCCAGCAATAGTAGTAGGGTTTCTAATAGAAGCGAGAGAGGTGACAAAGCCAAGAGAGACCTTTCGAGGCAATTGGACAGTCCGAATAATTCGGAGCAGCTGGGGACTAACAGCGATTCTGATCTGGACGACAACGGTAGCACGAAAAGTCGTCGACAGGCGAACAAAATACGGCGGAAATTCAATAAGAAAACGAACGGTATTAGAGCTCCCGCCAGAGGTAGACAGAGAGGACGAGGCGTCAAGAAGTCCAAGCCCAAGAAGGCGATCAATATATCCGGATTGGATCTGCTGCACAGTCAGACTTTGCTCAGCACGTCGCCTCAAGCTCTCGGAAAGAAACCACCGCCCCCGCCCGGTTGTGTAGATCAACAATTGTCTTCGTTGTCGCTTTCTTTGCAATCGCATTCCACTTCGGTGCACGAGGAACTCAGTATACCGCCCGCTCCGTCCGCGACTCCTTACGCTCTACAAATACTTTTGGACTTGTACAGGTAAGATTGACTCTCTTTTTATGATCTTTGTATCGTTTCTACGTTAAGTCGCATAATGTGTATGAAAAAAAAAAAAAAAACAAACAAACAAACAAAACCAAATCTTTTATCAGGGACCAATTCATGCTTATGTTGGAGTCAATGAGAACGCCTTCTTACAAAATATCGGTTAACACGGATATCGCGAAGGAAAGGGAGAGAAACTCGAGGCTTCAGTCGAGAGCGGCGCAGTTAGAGAAACAAATCAAAGTTCTGATAGACGATAGTGTGGCTCTCTTGAAGGCTAGAATGACTGAATTAGGTATTAATGCTACGTCACCCGGGGATCTATTGGCGAAGGCCAAGGAAATAGTTTTAAGACACAAACAGCTGCAAGCTAAAGCGAGCAAGTTGCAAGCGCAAGTGGCGAATATCGAGAGCGAGCAGAGCAGGCTGGTTGCGCTTAGACATCAAGAACTGCAGGAGAAGTACAACGGTCACGCAAACGGCATGACAAATCCACCGCAATCGCTCACGCAGGATTACATACTGAAGGAAATCTTTGCAACCATGTCGCAACGCAAACGATTGCACTCACAAGTGTGTATCTTGTTATTTGATGAAATTTTATTCACTTAATCTTTGCTTTATATATTTCTCATCTTTCTTCTTTTTGTTTTCTCATTTTTTCTTGTATTAGATGTAGTAATAAGTAGACAGACACATACGTCTAATTTGTACTTAAAAGCAGAGAGAAATTTTATTTTCTTTGTGAGTTTAATCGGAGAAAAACTTGCTTTGTGCAATACAGGTTTCGAAACTCGAACACGAATTAAATGTACTGGAAAGAACGAGTAGCGAGAAGCAGGCGGCCGCGATCGTCCAGCAACAGAGAGACGCGATAGGAAATAAGATCTCGCAGAACTCGCATCAGCAGCAGCAGCAGCAGGTCAGCAAAGCCGGAACGATACGCAAAAGGGAAGGCCGTTTGAGGTCGCAGGACTGGCCCGATGTTCCGGATATAGGAAAGATACAGGAAAACAATCCGGAGATACTGGCGCAAAAGATTCTGGAGACGGGAAGGCAAATAGAAGCGGGTCGTATTCCGAGTAGACCGAGCGTGAACGGCAGAACTCGATTGCCACAGGCGTCTCTCAGTTTCTCTACCGCGCCGTCTTCTATTTCGTCCACCCTATCGCAGTCGGTCAATAAGGACGCGTCGGATAGAAATCAAGAACCACCGAGGGTCGCTAATTTCGAGGACAGACTGAAGAGCATCATCACGAGCGTTTTGAACGAGGATCAGCAGAACAGAAATAAGCAGCAACAGCTACAGTTACAGTCGCAAAGTCAGCCCGAGCCGGAGAGAAAGCAGCGCGCACCACCACCGTTGCCACCGAATGTATCCACTCCGGATTACACACAAGTAAGTTCACCGGATCGGTTAATGACACGATTTTGTCCAACAGTGTTGAATGTTAAAAATTTTATTTTTTTTTAAATTAAACAATATTTCTCACAACGCGTGTAACAAGATCATCTTTCAGGTTTCACCCGCTAAACTGGCGCTTCGTCGTCATCTCTCGCAGGAACGCCTCTCGTCGTCCCACCTAACGTCGTCCGACAGGTCGACGATCGACACAAGACAATCATCAGGTCACGACAATCGGCTCGCGCTGAATGGGAGTAGCGGAATACTCGGCACCAGGACAATCGGCGACCTCGTCAGCGGAGAGATCGAGAGAACGTTGGAGATTTCGAATCAGTCGATAATAAACGCCACCGTTGATATGAGCACGATCATGAGACCCGAGGCCGCGTACTCGCCTATCAGCAGGCCAGCGAGCGCCGAGGGAGATGCCGGCTTGTCGACCTTGGCGCACGTGGCCAGTTACGCGCCCACTTCGGCAGCCTGCACCACAACGTCCACTACTGGTTCAAGATCATCGGTTCTCTTTACTCCAGTGACGCAATCGCAGAGGTATTCTCTTTATTCGGGTTTGTTTGGATTGTAGCAACATTTTGGTTGAGGAAATTTAACATTTGTTGCAGGTACACGACAGTTCAATTACCGCGAGCGGATATCAAGCCCTACCACGAGTCCTATTTTTTGGATAATCCATCTCAGTCGCTCACGCAGTCCCATCCGTCGGTGCTGCCGTCGCATTCATCTCAGGGCACGCTAAACGGAGAACTATTGCCCGTAGAAGGACTCGCGGCGTCGTTACACGCTCGAATAGTGAACATTCATAATAATAATAATAATAATAATAGCAGCAAGATCGACGCGGCTCTTTCCAACAATAAACGGTAGTAGCATTGAACGCGCGACGAGGTGTAATCCTCTCGTAATTTAAAGAAACAAATTTATAATCAGATGTAATGGCTTTTTTACATTCGTAGGTTTCATCCGTATCCGCGATACGCAACGAACAGTAGTAGTAGTAATGGTAATAGTAACGGCAACGCAACGTCGAACGGTACCGCGATTTGCCAGTCGCAATCGTTGACGTCGATAAAAACAGAAGTATCGTCCGTGAGCACAAGCGGAGCGCCGCTGAGTCCTCTCGTGGAACCGCATTCTAACACGTCGACGCCGCTGGTCGACGAGCCGCAAATGGCGACCCAAAGACACCGAAATGTCATCGGTGATGACGGTAAGAGAAAATGATTCTGACGCTTATCTTGGGACTTTTCGAAATATTAGATATCTCGTTAGACTTTTAGTGTATAAAAACATATATTTAATATGCTTCGGAATGAGAATCTACACACTCCAATTGTGCTTCTCGAATTTATTTAGTAGCTAGAAGAAAGTAGACAAATTTCTGTACGACGAGATTTATAATTCGATAAAATGCTTGGATACGCGCGTGTAGAGATTTAAATTCCAGTAAACTTTGTTTTGAGTTTGAATGTGGTTTGCGGAGGCAAAAAAACATATCGAAGTAATTCAGTAATGAAGTATTTGATATCTGGTCAATTAAATTTGCAAGAATATTTATTATTATATATATTTGTCTGATTTTATTGTCAATTGTCAAGATACAAGACTGGTTGTGTCATCGCGCATAACAAGCGAACTGTTCGCTTTGTACAATGCTAAGCGTTTTCTTCCCTTTTTAGGTTCTTGTAGATATACTGTTATATCATTAGTTTATGCGCTAAATGCATCCTACAATTTATTTATGCACTAATGGTTTAGCTTACTTTTTATTGGAGTTGGTAACTGATTCTTTTTATTTATATTTATTTTCGTTGTTGTTTGCTGTATTTGTTAGATGCACTGTAGAGCTGTTTGTTCTGGTTAGTTCTGTCTGTCACACACTCGATCTCAGAAACCCCCCTGAAGCTTGTTTTATTAGAGATTGAGACTCACACACACACACTCAGATCAGAGGGAGAAATGAAAAAGTACGGCTGCCCTGTGGGTTGGTTCGTCGGTACGTTGTTTTGTCACCGGTGAGTTGTCCCACGGGGGTCAAAATTAACTTTGCTATTCGAAAATTTTTTTATACGTATATAATTAAAAAAAAAAAGAAAAATTTAATTCCTTTATACAGGCGTGCGCGCGAGCAGCGTATATATCCCTTCTCTATGTAAAAAAAAAAAAAACGCGAAAGGCTGGTTAAAAATAAAAATAAAACAAATTTCCATAAAAATAAGCCAGACTCTCAAAAACATAATTCTATTATATATACATATATATGAAGTATATCTATGAGTACGCATGTTGAATGTGAGAGTTCCAGCAATAAATATGTTCTAATTGGTGGACTGTACCTTTACTGCATGTTGCATGAAAAATTGTGATCTTATTATTTCCTCCATCTTAATATTCTATTTTCAATATACAACTGTTTTTCGATTCAATTGGTAAATCGCGCGCGCACATTTAAATCACGTTAATATTAGTGCATATTTAAATTTGCACTCGTTTTAGCAGAAGAATAATAATAATCGACAAAATTTGCTCTACCTAAAAAAATGAAGAAAATTTACCACTTCGAATCGCGCGCGATGGCTTATTTTTATGAAAATTGATGTTATATATGTACATTTATATTTCTCTTCGCTTGCTCGATGCTTCACGCGACGCCGGTTACAGCGAGTAATTGAGGTTTATTTTGCAGATGGGGAAGCTGATTGGCAAGACCGCATTAGTTCAGGATTTGATCGCTTGGTCGCGTTTGCTTCCACAGAACTGGACAAACGTAGACGATCGACAGAAGGAGTAAATACAAGCCCCGACAGTGGAATGGGCTCAGACAGCATGGGGACAGGACCACCGATGGTGGTGCCGTCGCCCGACGACGCATTGGGACCGCCGAGAACACCCTCGCCGACCAGTCCCCGTCCCTTGAACTCCAACGGCAATTCCATATGCGGCTCGTCCGTACCTCTGAAATATCAGCGACAACTGGATTCCGAGCGGCATCACTTTAAGAAAAAGTTTTTTCATCGCGACTGGAGCACTACCGCGGGCACCAGCAAATTTCGTCCCAAGGGCAAAGATTGGGACTGGAATCATTCCGGACAGTGGCCGTCGAATGACGAACAGTCTTAACTTTTGTTCTCGCGGCGAAAATAATGAGGATTTTCTATGTGATCAGCGACGATATGTTATTTCTTTTGCTCTTTCTCATCCATGTAACGTATAGGGGGACGCAAACATGGCGCGTTGTTTTTTTCTTTTTGGCTTTTAAGTTTATTTCACATTTATTTATTTCTCGCCTCTTATATAAGAGTTGTCATTTATATTTATACACATACAGACATATTAATTACGTTTTGTTCTTGTTTCGTTATTATTGATAATAATTGTCTTGTATATTCTGATAAGGACACGTTCTTTAAAATACTGCATGTGTTTATTATGTATTTATTATGTGCGAGAGATAGTTCGTATGATTTTGATCGACCGGAAAGACAAACAAAACCTGAACTGAAATGCTAAGCGCTTGGACAGATTCAATATCGTTGCTTACGGCTCATTTATAGAGTGAAAAAAAAAAAAAAATTATACATTTATATTACACAATGAACGTAGTTATGAGACTAATTAGTAAGACAACAGATTACACAAAGTCAAAAGTGAATCGAAGTTATGAAATGTGTTAGCGTCTATATTGTGCATGTTTTCAACTTTTGTCTCTTGAAAAGATTATTAATCCCTCAAACCAGAAACCTCCCAAACATCTGTATTAAAGAAATCGGTATTATTGAGTAAGTTTCTCTCTTATCTTATAAAGAGGTCTCTCGCACTTTGTTAATTTATAGTTAGTAATTATTTAAGTAGCAATTTGAGGAAGGTTAAAAATTCCAAAAAATCTCAAGTGTTTTTTTGAATAATATGATTCCTAAACGGTATTTCTCCATTTATACATAATTCAAATAGTCGAAAAGTTAAGTATGGTAATTATTATTTTGATAATTCTTACCAGTTTCTTTTTTATTTATAGAATCAATTTGTGAAAAAAGCTTCTGAATTACAGTATGTTTCTGAATCGTTCGCAATTTGTACAAAACAATAGCATTGTGTTATTAATTGAACTGATTAATTCCCACGTTTTGACTTCAAAATAAAAACTAGTTACGGGAATATCGAGGCTCTTCTTGATAAAATCCCGCATCACACAGAAAAATCTGTGCCATCAAGCCAAGTTGAATACCGTTCTAAGAATGCAATAATGAATGAATTTAAATAAAACTGGTTTGAGAGGTTAAATAGATCTTACTCACCGATTTTACATAGCACTTTAATTTATTTTATATTATATTATACACACCATATATATTACATATTACTCTGTATTATTATAATATCATTATTCTATTAGTATGATCAAATTTTTTGGTAAGGTTTTGCGAACAATTGTCACCGATGTGTTTCTTTGTAAATCTGGTCTCAACTGGTCTAGATCGAAACGCCAATGTTAAATAGGACAACAAGAAGTCTCGTAATCTACGCCTGTACATATACACACACATATCCCATGACGCGATTATTGTATGTGGCATTTATGAGACGTTTATAGACGCACTAGATAAAAAAAAATTTATGTATGTATGTATCATATCGCATGTACGCGAATATATATGTACAAAAAAAAAAAAAAAAAAAAAATAATCTCATACGTTTGTATGTATGTATCATAATGTGGGTGTGTATGTGTGCATGTACATATATTATTTGTATGTTTCAAAGCCGGAGAGGCAAGTTGATATTACAGGCGTATTACGATTGACCGATTGGCATGATAGAAAAAAGAAAAAGAAAACCAAAAGAAAAAACTTAAGAACGGAATATGACACAAAGCCAGCGAAACCTCCGTGTGTTCGTAGCAAGTACGTGCTGCAAATTTTTACATATTGCGGCTGCAACAAAACAATCTTCCACCGTTTCTCGGGAAGATAATTTAATACCTAAGTGTTCACTGTGGTTCATAGAGTTAAAGAATCGCGTTAAAAAGGTAAAAAAGTAAAAAAAAAAAAAAAAAAAAAAAAAAATAGTCACTTTGTAAAGTACACTCGTATCTTAAGATTGAAAGTAAATTCGTTCTTTTGTGGTTTTGTTTTTGTTTTTTGGTACGCATCTTACTCACGCTCGTCGTTGTACGATACTTGTGCGATATATTCCAAAGAATGGAGGCAAGAGTCAGTTTATACAGTTTTTAAGTGGTGCGCCCCGTATTGGACATCACTCACGGTAGGTTCTTTTTTGCTTTCGGTGCTGCAGAGAATCAAGTAAAACATCCAAGGAGAAGCGTTACTATCTATACAGAGAGAAAAAAAAAAAAAAGAAAAAAAGGTCGGCACGACATTTATGTATAAGGGATCCTTTCTTTTTTACGTTGCTCGAGATATATATCCCTGGTTAAGTATATATATATATATGTACATATGTATATGTATATGCATACGAAAGGATCGTCATACGCTAGACTGTAAAAAAAAAACAAAAAAATGATAAGTATCGTATTATTTAATATATCGCTCCTATATATATATATATATATATATAATACTACGCGCGTCATTTATAGACTTATAGTTAATATAAAAAAAACAAAAAAAAACAAAACAAAAACAAAAAAAAATAACGAGCATTGCCAGCACACGCTAGACACACTGCCGAAATCTTTGACGAATTAATTTTATTATCGATCACAACTATTATTTATTGTTTTTATTGAGATATTTTAATACTATTACTATTTGTACCAAGTAATGGTGTTCTTCCTTTTACTCCATTTACTCTCTACCTTCCCGCATTTTTCAGCAGTTTTCTAGCGATATGTTTTCTCCCCCTCTTCCCCCGATCACTTTACAAACCCTTAATTAATAATACATAATTGTCGTCGTTTTCTCTGCCAAGATAATCACGCAGGTTTGTAATTTTCGTGCTCGTAAGAGACGTTTTTACAGAATCGGTCAAAAGTTCGAGATCACCGATGAAATGTGTGACGTACACAGAAAACGAGAATTTTATTTTTGCACAAATACGTAAGACCAATCGTTATACAATGACAATTCTAAAGATAAAAATTATTACACATATATTTTCTATTATTCTTACGCGAGAATATAAAAGTTTATCTCTCTCGTTTTCCGCATGTATTTGCATATTTTTGCGATCTCGAACTTTTAACCAATTATTGTATATCCATCTCTCCCTTACTTAATTACAAACAGGTCAAATCCTCAATTATAACATATATGCGAGAGAATCTCGCAAGAGTACATATCAGCAACGAATCTTTTTTTTTTCGTCCTGGGAAAAAATATCCCAGTGCCACCGGATAGTGCAAATTATTTTAATTAATTGATATCAAATACGACTCAGGATCAGGAAGCACATTTGTAGAAAGAAGTAACGTACATCATAGAAACCGGTGTCAACGACACCGCGAGCGTCTTTAAGATTAACATACAGGTGCCAGCATGTGTGTGTGTGCGATTTGTGCACACGCACGATAACTGAAAGAGGCATATGCGGGTTTTTATAAAATCGTCTGAATGTGCATGTGCATATGTGGGATGTACCCACATATGCGTATGAGGTATGCATATGTATATTAAAAATCATATATATATAAAGAGAATGTTCTTAACTTTTATATTCTTTCAAGTACTTGAACGCGACGAAGACGATGACGTCTTCCGCGCTAAGATCGATACTGATGGTGACGATAGTGCTGATCGAAGTTTGCGCTCTCGACGCGCGAGATGATATCGAAGTGATACTGCTGCCAATACGGGATCCGAGAGGCGCGCCGGAGGTACGTTGTGTGTCTGTTCTCTTATCCGTCGTTGAGCGAGAGAATTTTTTAAATCGGTCGATTGATCGATCTCGCGCGTTACGCGCGCTCGGCACCGCGAACGCGACGCACGAGTGCGCGTAATGGCTTCAATCCAGGTCGATCGATCGACGACGACTTAAAAAAACAAAAAAAAAAAAAAAGAACTCGCTCTACTTAAACCAGCGCCGGACTGCGCGCTCAAATTGCGAATGACGACAGACCGCGTAATTTGCGATTAAGTATCTGCAAATTACACGGTTGCGATGTCCGGCGCTCACTTCGCCAAAGCTCGAGAGAGCAAAGTGGTCCCATTGTTGACGCTGAGATTTACGCAGATTCCGTTAACTTTCAAAGTCTTCGGACGGCTGGTCAGGCTGAATCTGCGTAGAAACGACAAAATCGCGTCGCCTCGGTTGCAAGTGTGGAAGCACAGAGGCTGGAACACGGAGGAGCTGTCGCGACTGAACGCGCCGGATCCGTGCCATTATCTTCACGAAGATCGGATCGTCTCGGCGGCGATAAGCTTTTGTCAGGAACGGGGATTGGTCGGTGATACAAATTTCTTTCTTTATAGGACGAGGATGTGAAAGTTATCTCTTTTTCCGCCATCTCTTTTATATTCTTCTTCTCTGCGCGTGGGTGTAGACAAAAAAAACATGTAAGATAAAAATGCAGGTGTGTGTCTTTGTAGCACGGGCTCGTCTTCCTGGACAGTTTCACGCTGGAGATCACGCCGTTGCGACGACGCGGTCCCGCGTTATCGGCCTTGCTCGCCGACGTCGCTCAGGAAGACTCTCCGCTCGGCGAGCCTCACGTGATCAAGCGATCGCCGAGATCTGGATTCGTTGCCGATCTGGATAACTTCGACGAGTCAACGAGGCAACGTCTCGTGCGAACATCCGCAACGGAAAGCGCCAACTTGACGTTGGAACTGGCCGTTTTCTTTGACGAGGCTGCGTATCGTTTGTTCTCTCCGTTTCTCGACAGAGACGACGGGAAAATCCGCGACATGTTGCTGGCTTACGTGAACAGCATTCAGGCGCTATATCGTCATCCGAGTCTCGGTGTCGCGATCGACATCTCGCTGGTGCGGCTGGACATCATCGAGAAACAGCCGCCGGATCTGCCGCACTTCGGCGGCGAGAGAGGCAGTCTGCTGGATTCGTTCTGCGATTACGCGAGGACTCGCAATCCTCCGGAGGACGATCAACCGCGTCACTGGGATTTGGGTCTGTACGTGACCGGATTGGATCTGTACGCGCTCGAGAACGGGAAGCGAAACGGCGCCACCATGGGACTGGCCACCGTCGGCGGCGTGTGCGTACCGCGTTACTCTTGCGTGATCGCGGAACTCGGTGTCACCGATCAATTCGGAAAACCATATCCGTCCGCGGGCTTCACGTCTGTCTACATCGCCGCGCACGAGATCGGCCACAAGTAAGTTTCAAAACCGAACGATAATAAACGCGCGATCAGTCAGCGAGTGCTCGAACTCGAATCGTTTTTGAAAGCTTAGGGATGCATCACGATTCGATCGGCAACGCGTGTCCGAAGGACGGCTACATAATGTCACCCAGCAGAGGCGTTCGGGGCGAGACGGTCTGGTCCGAATGCAGCCGCGAGGTCGCGGAGACGCTATCGCGAACAAAACCCTGCCTCCTGGATCGGCCCGAGCCGCGTAACACCACGGATGATGACGATCATACGCGGTATCGCAATTTGCCCGGTCGCGAATGGACCGCCAAGAGGCAGTGCGAGTTGCTTTTGCGTGACAAGGACGCGAACGTGGTCACGCTTTATCAGGCTTGTCAATCCTTGCAGTGTGAAACGCCCCGCAGGAGCGGATATTACTTTGCGGGACCGGCGCTGGATGGTAAATCCTCTCTTGTTTTTCCTACTGTCACTTGTGTAGTCACTTGTGTGTTTCTCGCACTCGGTTGAGCTAAAAAATTCATTTTACTTCTCAATCGTACAAAGGAACTCACTGCGCGTCCGGCAGAGAGTGCCGCGGTGGAGAGTGCGTGCCCATTATCGACATCCCGGACGAGGACAACTGGAAGGGCAGCTGGAGCGAGTGGAAAGAGGGTTCCTGCAGCAGCGGTTGTCTGCAGAAATCCAAAGGCGCGCGAGTCCGGCGACGATTCTGCAAGAACCGCGATCGCGGAGCGGCGAACTGCAAGGGCTTGTATTACGACGTGGTTCTGTGCAAGGACGAGAAACTCTGCAAGAAGAAGCGCAGAACGATCGGCGAGTTTGCCACGCTCAAGTGCGGCCTGTTCAGCGAGCGGCTGTCCGAGCTGGACGGCACGGCGCCGGGATTGCAGGTGCTGCACGAGTCCGATCGGCCGTGGATGGCTTGCGCTATATTCTGTCGGCGAAGAGACATCGCCGCTTATTACTCGCCGCGCGTCGAGCTCAACGACCTCGGTCTCGATCCGTATTTCCCGGACGGCACGTGGTGCTACGCCGAGGACGGCCAGGATTATTACTGCCGTCAGCATCATTGCCTGCCAGAGAGCTTCCGATTCGGGAAGAAGTTGCCGAAGGGAAGTCATTCGCGCGAGGACGCGGGAGACTTGGGACCACAAAACGCGCATAACAATCTTCCGAACCGATTCATCAAGTACCTGACGTTGGGCCCGACCGGTTTGCCATTGATGACCTCCGTGTCGCGCGGCATCGCTTCTCCGCCCGACGAAGACGAATGGATCGATAAAGATTACATAGAACTGCCAGTATCCGCTTAAGTTTCTTGAATCTTGTCCCTCTCCTTTTCCTACTGGTTATCGAAAGTTTAACAAAAAAAATGAGGTTTTATAAACATTTCATAAAATATTTTATAAAAAGAAAAAAAAACAGAAAAAAAGGAAGAAACGATACCGTAGTCAGTTTACGCTCTTATATGGAAAGGAAAAACAGAGATATCGCTATACGCGGAGTGGACGCGCTTCTTCCCTCGCTTCGTACGGAAAAGCGTCTCGGGAGAGGGATACGATGAGAGCGATATACGCGTGACGTCACCCACTTTGCCGTCTATTTTAGGAGTGTCGCGATGTTACGCTCGTATATTTGTGTACAAATACAGGATAGGGGAATTGAGGGCAATAGAGAGAAAATATACGATATGTTGAGTCGTGTGTGTAACTTAATTAATTATATTATATAATATATATAAGCGTACAAATAATTAATCAACCATTAAACTTAGGATTACATTACGTAACGGGAACATCGGCTCGACGTCAAACTTATGACAATTGGAACCGATCCGCGCGCACACACACGCACACACACACACACTCTCTCTTTCATTATAGACAGAGTATGTACGAAAAGAAACCAACCTACAAAGACCTAAGGCAAAAATGTTCTGCTACAGTTTTGTTTTTTGTTTTTGTTTGTTTTTTGTTTTTGGCTGTCCCTTTTCGATGTGTTTTCAATTCACCGGATAAACGCAACATCGCTAAAAAATACAAAATGCTCGATAATTGTTACGCGATTGACTGCTTATCACTGTTCAGTAGCCTTCGTACATATAATCGTAAAACGCATATACGCACCCACGCACGCATTTACAGACGTACACAATAACTACAATGTAATTGAGGAAACAAAAGTAATCCGGACACGACAATCACACGAATTTGGCGTTACAATAAACGCGAACTTTATGATTCTTTTTGTTTTTATAATTATTTAATATACATGCCTTGTGTCTCTTCGATTGATCGATCAGACTATCGTTATATATGGGCGTAGAGGCCAATTCGGGCGCCGTTGTTCAGAGAGACGCCAAGTTAGCCGAAAGTAACTTAAAAAAAATTCAGTAATCAAATATTGACTTAGCGTCGAGGAAAATGAAAATATTACTCGTCGTTTGATTTGGCTTCTACGCAAATTGCTATTATACATACATATATATATATATAATTTATTTAATCGTTCTCAATCGTTTTTCATCGTTTTTCATTGTTAGTCTCTCTCGTGGTCGTCGTCGTTGCTGCGTCTCCGCGTCTTCATGTACTAGAACGCACATGGAAACGTGTCATCACTTCCGTTGATCGGAACGATTAAAAGATGTCCATCAAACTGCATCGATATTCCTTTATATAGTACGATCTTATTTGTTTTTCTTTGTGATCAATCAAGAGCTCAATTCGGTAGCGTGTCATACAATATATCCTTCGCACTTTGGGTCAACGTGTCCGGGAACTTGATGTCAAATGACACGAGTAGATCGCCTTTCCGTGACGGTTCTTTTGGAAACGGTAGACCATGTCCTTGGAACCTCTTCACCGTGTTTGGCTTAACAATTTCTCTCATCAGATTCAACGGTATCTTCTCACCGGTCAGCGTAGGAACTTCGACGATACTTCCGCACAAAGCTTGCTTCAAGGACAACTTGCACGTGTACCTAATGTCACTGCCCTCTCTCCTGAACAAGGGATGCGGTTTGTCTCTGATGATAAAAACGATGTCCGCCGGTTCCCGTCTGGGCGACTGATCGCCCTCTTTCTGGAACGTGATCTTCGTACCGGCTTTCCAGCCCGGTTTGACATTGATCGTAAGAAGCTTGTCTTCTTTCTTGGAGTTACCGTCCGGCTGTATCACTCGTCTGCATATCTTCATCTTCTTTGTGCAACCGCGCAGAATCTCCTCCAGACTTATGTACAAATCGTGCTCGATAGCCGGATCCTGGGCGCGATCTTTGCCGCCCGCTTTACCTGTGTTCGGAGTCGCGAAGTTGAACGAGTGCGACCTGAAGGCGCCACCTTGTCGCTGCGATCCCATACTGCCGATACCGAAGGGATCCATGTCGATGTCCATGTCTTCATCGTGAAAAGCGAATCCTCCACGATTACCGGTACTGGTGAACTCGAAAAGATTGTGGAAAGGACTGGCCGAACCGAAGAATTGTGCGAAGGTCGCACGAGGATCGCCATGGAAAGTATACGTGGCGCCTCCTCCACCACCTCCAGCCGATGCTCCTCCCTTCAGACCCTCCTCGCCGAACTTGTCATAAACCTCTCGCTTCTTGGCATCTGACAGCACCTCATACGCCTCAGCAATCTCCTTGAATTTCTCCTCAGCACCGGGACTTCTGTTCTTATCGGGGTGATATCGGAGAGCTAACTTTCTATAAGCTTTCTTGATCTCCTCGTCGCTCGCTCCCTTGGCTATGCCAAGTATTTTATAGTAATCCTTTCCCATTCTTCTGTACTCAATCTGAAACAATATCAAAAAATATTGCATGTGTTATTGTACTGTAAATCTCAATTATGAGAAAAATAAGATTTTTATTTTCCTATCTAGATCTCAAAAGAACTTTCACTTTTCAATCACCTAGAAGAGAGACAAAAAGACCTCGCATCAAAATTTATTTTCTCCTGAGAATTCTATTTATACCAAGATTGATTCATGAATTTATCTTAGATGTCTCTTTTGTGTATTGATCTGTTCTCCGATATCTGAACCACAATTTAACAAAGATTCCAATTATTTATTTACATGTGACTTGAGATAAATAATTTTTACATTCAACGTTCTTTGATACTTTTTATCTTCTCTTTTTCTCATTTATAAATAAACTTCTTTTTTACAGCCAAAGAGATACAGACATAGATAAAATTTCTTTTTTTTTTTTTACAGCCACTACAAAGACGTCTGTATTTAAGCTTTACAAAAGGCTCAGTATAAATACGCGCAAGCCAATTGACACAGTTTAACCCTTTTTTCCGACACGATATATAGAACTACGTGAAAAATTGTGCGATAGAAGTCTATTTTAATTTACTCTGACACATATGTATCAGAGCACGCACACACACAAACACAGTGCCAGAGTCCACTTTATTTGTAAATCACGTGCGCGGTTACATTGCATCTTCTCATTACCGCCATATTTTTTTAGCAAGACGGTAATATACTCGATGTTAAACGAATCGCGCGGATATATAAGTCGCGACAATTCGAGAGAAAAGAATAACACATATGTTTCACGCGTCGCGCTCACTCGCGCGCGCGCGCGCGTGCGTATGTGTCTCACGTTCATTATTATATACAGCGAGAGAGAACATGCTAGATCCGTCGAGAAACGCGAGCGGCGACCGATCGTCGCGCGCGCGCGACGACGACGAATTTACTGCCATTTTTTTTCCGTCGTCTCCGATTCTCGAAACGATACGAGAAAGAGAGAAGCAAGCAAGCTCCAACACACCCACGTACATACGTATTCACCGATATCTATTTCTGGCAATGATGATGATTGCGAATACGCGACGAATGTCTCTCGCTCGTTCGCACGAGATTCGGTGTGTGAGCTGCAACGCAAAAATAAATACCCCACCCTCAAGAGAGACGGAGCGCGAACGAGCGAGAGGTTCTGGGTCGTTGCCGTTAATCGTCGTCGTGGTCATCGTCGTCGTTGTCATTCCGTTGTCACGATGTCTATCTTCTGTTTTTTTTTTTATTTTTTTTTTTTTTNTTTTTTTTTTTTTTTTTCACCCGCGAACCACCGCGGCGATGCGCCAAGAAAACGGAATCGCAAATCTTCCGCGGATCGGCAAAACAACACGCGCGGAGAAAAGAGAACCGTTGTCACGATGTCTATCTTCTGTTTTTTTTTTTATTTTTTTTTTTTTTGTTTTTTTTTATTTTTTTTTCACGCGCGAAATCGAGAATCATGCATATGCACGCACGTAGAGCGATCACGATTCATCGCGAATTTTGTACCATCTTGCACCACATTAACTTCACGAATATCGCGGACAGGTTAACGCGGAGGAGCCTTGTCCCTCTTCCTTCTGCGTCTGATTTTTGTTTTTTACTTACTTTTGTATCTTATTCCGTGATTGTTTGTTGAGCGTTAAAACACGGAAAGTACCAAAAATACAGAGTACACAGAGAAATGAGCAATGAATGCAATTTTAACGCCAAACAACACCCAAACACCGACCGTTCCTGGATCACGTACAAAATCGCACTGAACTGTCGCGTAACCCCTCTACCGTGATTCGTATATATATATATAAACTCGCCGTCCAGCAGTTTCCGGAACTTTCGAGAATGAATTGACGCTGCACCGCAGCGCCCTCTCCGATGACGTCAACGTTTTACGTCAGCCGTGGCGCGAACTTCAATTATGGCGCCTTTTCGACGATCGATAGTACATCTCAAAATAAACGGGAACAGAAAGAGTACAAGCAGCTAACCCAGTTAAGCGACATATATCGGTTCTCTCAACGGAGTAGCAAATGGACTTTTTCCACAGCTCATAAATTATTTTGGTTGCTTGGAACAAAAGCGGACGAAAGAAAGGGAATTAGAAGTGAGCGTGTGACGCGCGGGGCGAGCGAGAATTAACGACGATATTTTACAAATGCGAGAAATAATTTATTACATTTTACATTTTTTACATTTTGTCCACTCATCTGCTTAAACGTAAGAACAGAGCGTGTCTGCATTCTCGCGAATTGGGCGGCATGTACTTGTCGTAAAAGTCTTGAACGAATTCCTGTATCTTGAAACCAAACTTCTGATACAATATCAACGCGGGATTCGTAGCGGACACGTGTAACGTGACGTCCTGTCCCAAACAGGTTTGTATCAAGTGGTACAACATGAACGTGCCGATGCCGGATTTTCGCCATTCCGGACGTGTCAGGAGAAACGAGATGTACGCCTCGTTGTAGCTGACGTACGGGACCAATATCGCAAAACCGATGACGAGTTTCTTGTATGACACAACGCACGTGAAGTCCGGATACTGCAGGCATTCGGTCACTGAAACGAACACAATCTTGTTGGAATATACGCCAGGGTATGAGTGCGTGTCACTCGCACAGAAAAGTTGATACTCACAGTCTATACCAGGCCAAAAGAATTGTCTGCAAAGATTGTTGATCGCGGGGATGTGTTGCGGTCTGACGTAGGAATAATCGACAGACGCCCGAGGAGACGGTTTCCAAAGTGAATTGTTTTTATTTACTTTCCTGCACAGTTCATCCATAATTCTCAGCCACAGCGGGTCGCAAGAAGTGTCCCTTCTTATGAACGGCTTTAATCGTCTGTGCGTGTACGGACTGTACACGAACGTGGACTCGTTGTAACCGAGCAGCTTCTGCTCGAAAATGTATCCTAGATCGTCGCTGCTGAAGAATCGATCCAACACCCGACCGTTGTCTCTCGACGGCATCGCTTCCGATCCTGATTTCGATCCAAAGTGATCGACGTCTAACAAAGGGAGACCGTATTCCCTCTTTCTTTTCCGCAAGGCCAACTTTCTATACTGTCTTCGAACGGCCGGCGGTGCTTTATCGAGATCAGTCTTACTGAGCTTTTGCAATAAATACGTTTCTTCCTGACGGGTCATATGTGCCATTTTCTCATCTGAAACGCAACGTGACTGTAGAATTTTGCATCTCTATGCTTCGAGTTCGAGATACTTACTGTTACCGGTAAATGATTTGGACCAAGGCCACTGACGGTGTTCTGTCACTTTGAACAGAGAAACGGGAAGCTGTTCGTGCATGGAAATGGAACTGTTGCTGTTGCTGTCGTCGTTGTATCCTTCTTGTTTCTTAATATCGTCGCCGATGCAAGTTGGCGATAAAGCAATCGGATTCCACCAGTCGCAGCTATCCATCAAGTCTGAGAAGCTGTTCTCATATTGACAATGTTGTATCAACTCAGAGATAGATGGAACGTTATTCTCATTCCGTAACATTATGTCTTCCTCCATATCTGTGAAAACGTCGTGATTATTTAAATAATCCAACATTTGTTATACAGTAGTGTCTTGACAGTTGTCACTACGTCTTTTCTTTTGTTATCAACAATGACTAGTAACAGTGTGCGGACACTGTCTGTATTGTTTTTTTTTTTTTCTATCTATTATATCAGTACCAGTTGGCTCTTCATCTTCTAGAAGAAATTCAGATATTGTCTCTGTAGGTTGAACATACATAGAAGAATACATTGAGTTTCTGTTTCTAAATAGGTCACTGCTACAATTGCTGTCGTCTCCAATGGAAAGACTGGAATCAGATGTTACAGGACTGTCCAGCGATTTGTCAGATAATTTGGAGTTTTTCTTTTTATCCATGATCATTTTGCTATCTGAAATAAAAAGAGCAACAATGTTATTCATGTTCTCTACAGTTGCAATTTGCATCAGTATATGTATTTTATGTATATCATATGAGTGCACTTACTTTTGGCAATAAGAATTTCAGGAGGATCATTGGTCAACAGTTTCCACCATCCAGTTTCTTGTAATTCCTTGGTACCAGATTTGAAAAAAGCCTTATTATAATGGGACAGTGTTCCAGATATGGTGCCAATCCAGTTTTTCTTTTTCTTCCTAAGTAATATTTGCATGTTTTAATCACATCCAATAACTCATGTAACAAGACAATGATTATTATGATAATAAAAAAGTGCAACTTGGAAAAAACAAAAAAAAAAAAAATCAAAAGTTGATCAATTGTGCAACACAAAATACGTACACAGTCTTTTGAAACAGTACGTCCCAGTGCTTTTCCACAAAGGTACTGATGTCGTTTTTCCAGTGAAAGTATCCCCGTTTACTAATGCCGCTGGATCTTTCGCGAAGATTGTAAAGTGTCAAGACGATGACAGTGAGCCAAGGCATTTTGTCACGTATCACCGTCTCCTCGCCCAACGGGCTGCAGGAGGCGCAAGTAAGTTCGAAGAAAACATCTCCCACAAAAGAACCTGGAAGACTGCCTCTTTTCAAGCATTCTATGTGCACGTTTTCATCACACCCGCTGCAACTTAACCCCGGCTTGCTATGAGGATCGCACGCTGTTCCACATCTTCTGCAAATTCTTGTGTTCCCAGTCTCTTTCAATTCTTTCGAGCTTGTCATGTTTTCCGCTTCGGACATTTTAATTACTTTCATTTCTGTTCTTTCTGTTTTTGTATGTGCATCAACGTTGCACGCGCATCTCAGAACGCCCGGTTTTTTTAAGGTTAGATTTCCAGTAATGGCAGTGAATTTCGGAACGCAACCAGTGTTGCTGCGAAGTCGCGTTTTCGCGCATGCGCACTGTGCTGCTAGAAGAATGCAGTAATGTACATATATATGCACGTAAATGAGGGGCACCAACATGTACAGTTTTGGCGGGATCTCGCAGTAGGGACCGAAAAGGTTAAAGAGCGTAGGATAAAAAAGTAAGTAAATGTTATAATTATTTATTTGTGCAATATTAGTGCAATAATTTTGCAGTATGGATTCCAATATTGCTACAGGAGCCATTAAAAAACAAAGTACAAACAAATTTTTTAATTTGTGGTTAAATCCTATCTTCTTAATATTTTTTTATTTAGATGTTATTAAACAACTAAACAAATATTATTAAAACACACCACGTGTTAATTATGAAAAATTATTTGGGTCTTTACAGAACCTTAATAATGTCGGAGTTAGTACGGCAGTAATGCTACATTTAAAGGCGCATGCGCGAGAACACAGCTTTTACGGGAATCTAATTGGCTGTACAGTGCGCATACGCGAAAACGCGACTTCGCAGCAACACTGAACGCAACCGTAGTTGTTGGCTGCGTTCAGCAGAACGAGCTGCATTGTAAGCAATCGAATTCGTGATTGGCTCTTACGCCCGCGTTTTCACCATCTCCAATTAACTTAGACCCGGTTTCACAATTCGCGTTTAACTCGAATTAACCGAAGTTCGACTTGCTGAGCTCGGTTTAACGCGTTCAATCTTCTTTGTCAAATCTGTGCTAACCAACCAATCACAGTTCATGTTTAGGAAGAAAAGATGCGTTACGCCGAGTTCAGCAAGTTGGGCTTCCGTTAATTCGAGTTAACCGTCAATTGTGAAACCGGGCCTTAATCAACAGCAGTTGTTGACAAGACGAAAATTGTATTGCTGAATGCGGACATTTCCTTGCGGATGCACTTTTAGACTGCGTTCCGATATATTCACTGTCAGGGGTACGTTCCAAAATCCTACCTTGGTTATTAAAATGCTATATTTTACGTCACGTGTACTATGGTTTTCAGTTACCAAGGTAAGATTTTGGAACGTACAGAGGAGTGCACCATATCGTTCCGCTCCAGGAGAAGTATTTCTCGGAAATTTCTCTTCCGACTGTCCCTACTGTCGCGCGCCGTTTTTCTTCAATCTCGGGCCGCTGGCGGAGACCGAAAAAGTACGGCGCGCGGTAGTAGAAGCAACCAGAAGAGAAATTTCAGAGAAAACCTTCCCTTAGAGCGGAACGATACGATGCACTCCTCTGTACTCCAACGTACTGAAACGTATAGGAGTGCATTCCGTTTCACGCATATGCGCGCATTTATCTATAGTACACGTCACGTATAGTATAGACAAATGCGCGCATATGCATGAAACGGAACGCAGCTTAGTTCACGTGCAGCGTTGCCGTGGAACTTGCGCACGTGACGTCACGCAGTAGAGAGGTAGAGAGGTACGACTCGCGTCGTACTCTTCTCACCAAACGTAAATTACCCCCTCTACCGCGTGACGTCACGAGTGCCGCGAGTTCCACGGCAACGCTGTTCACGTGATACGCAAATTGATTGCGAATTGACGTTCCCGCGAGTAATTAAATTCGCTTCGAAACGAAAACATAATTAGCATACGCATCTGTAATTGGATAATTAACCATGTGTGTAAATATTTTTATTGCGAGTTTAGGTGTATATTATTTTATACACAAATTTTTGTGATCTGTACACATGAGAAACTTTTACAACTTTTGGGATATTAATTGGGATTGAAATATTTTAATAACATTTCAATGATCTTAATTATCTTAACTGTTATATGTATTTTATACATGTAGTCATTAACATATTAGTGACAACAAACAGACGTATAAAGAAAATCATTAAACTGTTTTCTTTAATGTACAGGAAAATTCCAAAAGAGAAATTTCCGAAAAATACTTCCTCTGGAGCCGCATGATATAGTACTCCCCCTACTGTACGTGTGTTCCCGTAGGGCTGTGTTCAGTTAAGCAAGAGGAAACGAACGAACACAGGAAGTGCAGAAAACGCAAGAATTGAAGTACAAGACCCAGTCAGAAATACCTTGTCGAATCGACGTCGATTCGACGTCGATTATACTAGTCGATCGACGGTTGAAATTTGTAGTCGATTCGACTTAAAAATGGACACGAATTTCGACCAATTATTGACAAGTCGATTTGATATCGATATTATGTGCTATATATTCAGAATGTCTGAAAAAGTTCGACGCGAAGTCGAAGTGTGAAAGTAAATTGAATTAATCTGAATCGAAAAGTCATGTACGATTTTGCAAAATTTGCAATAGTTATTGAATAATATAATTAATACATGTGATCCAATGAGCGCATAGGAAG